AACAGAATGAAGGACTTCGTAGATTCACAACTTCGAGATCAACAGGCCGGATTTCGGAAGGATCGATCGTGTACTGACCAAATTGCTACATTACGGATCATTGTGGAACAATCAATTGAATGGGACTCACCACTCTACATCAACTTCATCGACTACGAGAAAGGATTCGATAGCGTGGATAGGAAAACACTGTGGATTCTTCTTCGACACTACGGTGTGCCTGAGAAAATAGTTAACATCATACGGAACTCTTATGATGGATTCAACTGCAAAATCGTGCACGGAGGACAGCTAACCGACTCTTTCGAGGTAAAGACCGGTGTCAGGCAAGGTTGCTTACTTTCACCCTTCCTCTTTCTCCTGGTGATCGACTGGATTATGAAAACGTCAACAGCTGGAGGGAAGCACGGTATCAACTGGACAGTTAGGACGCAGCTGGACGATCTGGACTTCGCAGATGATCTGGCTCTTCTATCGCACACTCAACAACAAATGCAAGAGAAGACGACGAGTGTAGCAGCAGCCTCTGCAGCAGTAGGTCTTAACATACATAAAGGAAAGAGCAAAATTCTCCGATGCAACACAACATGCACCAATCAAATCACTCTTGTTGGAGATGCCTTGGAGGACGTTAACACCTTTACATATCTGGGCAGCATCATCGACAACTAAGGTGGATCCGATGCAGATGTGAGGGCACGGATTGGCAAAGCAAGGGCTGCATTTCTACAGTTGAAAAATATCTGGAACTCCAAACAGATATCAATCAACACCAAAATAAGGATTTTCAATACAAATGTCAAGACAGTTCTAATGTATGGAGCGGAAACATGGAGAACTACCAAAGCCATCATCCAGAGGATACAAGTGTTTATTAACAGCTGTCTACGTAAAATACTTCGTATTCGTTGGCCAGACACCATCAGCAACAACGAACTGTGGGAGAAAACAAACCAGATTCCAGTGGAGGAAGAAATCAGGAAGAAGCGGTGGAAGTGGATAGGACACACTCTACGAAAAGCACCTAACTGCGTCACGAGACAAGCCCTCACATGGAACCCTCAAGGCAAAAGGAAAAGAGGAAGGCCAAAGAATACATTACGCCGTGAAATAGAGAAAGATATGAGAGGAATGAACAAACATTGGACAGAACTGGAGGAAGAAGCCCAGGACAGAGTTGGTTGGAGAAAACTGGTGGGCGGCCTATGCTTCATTGGGGGTAACAGGCGAAAGTAAGTAAGTAAGTTGTAGTGAACTCCACAAAAATTTGAGTTCGCTTGTATTTAATTCGGTTAAGCGTTTCGATTAACTTATTTAATCAAGCCACTTGTATAACAACAACTTATATGTACCATTGGTTTTTATTAGCTGGTACGACTGAATATTGCTTACGCCTACGTGCATATTCATCCTATTCACTTTAATCTTATTCTCTTAAATATCTCGATGACTCGACATTACCCTATGTAGTATATATACGAACATTTAAATTTTATTAATACATTCGCCAATTCGCCAACTTGCTCGCCCTGCTCTGCGTTTTTGTGATCTGCTGGTCTAGTTTGTGGTGTGTAAAAAAGAAAAAGTATTCAACTCCTCATGTTTGCCTTCTGTTTTATAACTGTCAGGCGCTATTTAGTGACGATTGCCTAGACGAGCAAATTACGAAGACTAAGGACACATTGAATATTGACCGTCGCGAGACCAGTGATGCATTGGTCACCACAACGTAACCTATCTCATTGTAATTATTGACTCAAATTTTCTTTATTGGTTTAACATTTTTGCATAAATATTCATGCATATTGGAGAGTACAGCCTGTTGATGACGATCTAATTGAAAACAACAATATTGTTCGCTTATATCCGTGTTGTTTTAATTTTCACAATGAGAATCTTTAATATTCTAAAACACTATATTTTATGTACAGTGTGAGTGACAGCTGCCAGTGTAATCCAGAAAGCCTTATATATAATATTTAGAAGTCAACACTCTACTAATATTGACATTGCTTATAATAGAAACTTGCATTTATCTCATCAATTATCAGGAGGGAAAATACGAACTCATACAAACTGTAACAAATAAATTACTTTTATTGACAGGTTCATACCATTAGTTTGTAGATTTCAATTGAAAGTCAAAACATTTCTAGTATAATATACAAGTGGGAGTCGATCGCATTTGTACACAAATTTTCTTAGTTTCATTGTAATCATTTTACTTAGATCTGCAACTTTTATCTGCATAATACCATGTTTTAACCGTTATTGTGGCTCTTATGCACTAGCTATTTTCTCTATGCTTATCCTCTCTTAACAAGACTTTGTCTGTATCCATATGAATTCATATTTCATTTCTATTATCAGTACATACAAATTATCGCTTTGCTTGAAGGATTTAACTATTTTGTTAACTACATAAACTGTCAGATAAGTTTGGACTTGGGATAAATGTAGCTTATGTTATTTTCATCACTAGATACACTTGAAGCTATTACGAGTTCACCTTAGTCGATAAACGCGAACGAGACAATGAACCAGCGTCCACGTAGGCTACTTTGAATCCCAAAATGTAAAACAGAAGTCTTGATAAGCATAGAAAGTATATTCTACAAACACGCAGCAAGCACAATACAATCAAGCACACAACTCTCGTTTATTTATACATCATACAAACGTCCTTGGGACAGTTACAAAAATAGCACACTAAAATAACACACAGCAGCCAATCACAGCCATGGATTTTCCTGGTGGGAAATGCAATCTCAAGGTCAACTGATTAGCCCATGTTGGCAAACGTGAAATCCAAAATAAGGCATTTATCAAGCGAGTTCTGGGGATCTAACATCCTCAACAATTAACAGTTCCACTATGCTAACTAGGTTAGAGAATGACTTGAATCCTTCCTTAAATCTTAGCAAACGGATAAGAATTTCAAGTTCATTAGTCCAATCTTCTTAACTAATATTATTTCGAATAGTTGCTTAGCAAGAATTTAGACGCCTTCTAGCTAATACCTAAAACTTCATAATAGACAAATTATTTAAATAAAGTAAAGTAATATTATCTAATTATCGGGGAAAATATTCTTTTCACTTCTGAATCATAGTTAGATCAACAAATGATTATCGTTATTCAATCCAACAGTTCTAAAATTCAGAAACAATTAATAACTACCAGAAAAACACTAATGGTTTCAATAATTTCATGTCTACTAATCCTCATTGATGTATTTCAACTGATATCGGACAGTTGTCGTTAGAAGCAATCACTTACAACCCAATACCGATCTCCGAAAATTCAACTAATAGATAGAAAAAAAGCATTTCTAGGCATAATCTAGATGGCAACGGAATTCAAGCAGTACATTTTGTTCTATTTAGGATTTTTCAATTAGAGTTATGGAGATCATTGTAGTTACGAATTGAAATCATCAATGAATCATTTTTAGACTACCATTGGAAATCTGCATGCGCTGGATGACCGTTTCGTCCTGGTATCGGACTCATCGGCAGTGCAGATCCACAACTCTTGCTCCTCACAGGATTCGAACCCAGGGGCTTTGGTCCCGCTAGCGAAAGGACTGATCTGCTGTAAATATCTGTTTACATCAAAATGAGGAACCCGAAACCTCTTACTGCAAACGTCTGATGTTGTGACTACATTATCCCTACTTTGTCTAAACTAAGTAGACTTCAACATACATGTTTTTTCCTTTAAAATAATAATACTTAGGACTTTTTTCCCAAAATAGTAGTCCCAATTGATTGAATAAAATCACCAAATCACCAAATCATCAAATATATATTACTAAACACTGACATATATATATATCCATACATATATATGTTCTATTATCTGAAAAAAAACAAAGAGTACTAAGCGTTTTTACGAATGTAATGAAAATGAATACAAAAAATGTAATTGAAGTAGTATTAGTAACAATAGTAGTAGTAGTAGTAGTAGTAGTAGTAGTAGTAGTAGTAGTAGTAGTAGTAGTAGTAGTAGTAGTAGTAGTAGTAGTAGTAGTAGTAGTAGTAGTAGTAGTAGTAATAGTAGTAGTAGTGTGAGTAGTAGTAGTAGTAGTAATGGTAGAAATTAGTGAAATATTGTTTTGTTTTTTGAACAAACATTCAGTTAAAATTATCACTCAACTTATATGAGTATCTATACAGTCATATAAATATATGTATAAACTTGTATATGTATGTATATATATATATATATAAATGAATGTACATGCAGTTTTTTTAAAACCAGAAAAGAACAATCCAGAATAATAGTAATAATAAAAGCACAGCCACTTTTTAAAACTGTTTATTCCTCCAGTTTAAGCAAATGTTAAAAACAGAATACTTTACATACATACTTACATACTTACATACACACTAGAGAAAAAAAAAGGGATCGATTCTCGATCATGGATCAATAACAACACTGCTCTTTGTTCACATTTTCTGATCAGTCTCATTATCATGATGATGATTACCTATGATGTGTATTAATTATTACTACAAGATAATAGAGAGAGAATCTGAGTTGACTAAAATAAAAATGCACAAGTTTTATCGAAAAACAAAAAAGAAAACATACCCGTGTACTACTACTGATAGGTGTTAATAATAATAGTAGTATTGATCATAGGAATAATAATAATAATAATGTGTTCATCTCAACCGTTCATGTCTTAGAATAATAAAAGTTTTTTTTTAAAATAAAACTCGATAATTTACACAAAAAATTATTGTTTTTTTCTTTACATTGTGTAACACAGCCCCAAGAAAACAGAGAAAAAAATACACTGTAGTTACCATTAGTTTCTCGCCTTACAAGCATCATTTCTACACAGAGAGAAAGGTAAGATATTAAGTTACCACTAGTTACAGGTGAAAAGTTTTTTCAAAAGAACAAATCAAAAAAAGTACCAAGTTGGCGATTTGAATGCGGAAGTTAACAATTCAACCAGTGGACTGAAAAACAGAAAAGAGAGCGCGAAATTATGAATGATAATTTAGATAGTTAGTTGTTAAACCAGACGAAGATCCCTGACTTAAACGTGAATTCGATGTGATGTCGGAATTCATCAGTACTGGTTGATAACAACAACCAGATTGTTGCTGTTGTTGTTGTAAGAAAAGGAGATTAGCTTGAAAATTAGCCGCGGCTGCTGCTGCAGCTGCTGACGGCGGCGGCTGTTGACCAGTCGTCACTGGTTTTAATGATAATGTTGAATTTGTACAAGAATTAGGCAAAGAAGGTTGTGGAATGGAAGGTGGTGGAGGAATCAAAAGACTTGTATGAATAAGATTATTATTATTAATATTATTATTATTACAATTAAGATGATTGTTTGATTCAATAGGGTTGGATAAATGTACAGGTAAACCATTGTATAACAGTGGGACACATTGTTCATTTGATGATAATATTCTTTGGTTCATATTGACTAAATGACCATTAGCTAGATTGTGGTTGTTGCTGTTATGATTAATATTATTATTAGTAGTATTATTTACTATCCATGGTACATCATAAGTGACGTTGTTCCCATCTGAATAAGAGATTGGTTCATAGGACATGGAATTCAAACTACCATCACCCAATGTACTACTCAATGCCGGTTGTATACATCTACCTAATTCTGTTTGCATAGTTTGTTGTTGTTGGTGGTGTTGCAGATTTACTGGGATTGTAGTATTATTATTATTATGATTCAATGCCGATAATCCATTGAAAAATTGTTTTGCATTGAAAAAATTAGTAGCTAATGAAATCGAGTCCGCATTCAATTGATTTGTAGGATAAGATAGATTAGTTTCAACAGAACTTGTAGTAACAGTAGTAGTATTAGTTGTAGTAGTGTTGGTTGTAGTTGTACTAGTTGACGCTCCACTACTACCTGATGTATTCGACGATGATGTACCGCCAGGTGAAATACCAGGCACGTCTAAAATTCCATGCTCGCCTACTCCTACTCCTCCTCCTTTATGCGGTCTGTATAGTTTACGTTTATCACAAGGTGATAGTCTACGATGTAATGTTTGATAAATAATAAAAAATAATAAAACCGTTGATAAAAATGTTCCCGCCGTGGCTGCAATCAATTCACCCAGACTAAATTGTTTCATATGTAAAATGGAATTCGATTCAGACAATGGGGTTGTAGGCCAATGAGTGAAATAATTCGATTTACTTTCATTCTGCGCTAATTTTATATTTGTTGTTGTTGGTGGTGGTGATGACGAGAATTCGTTGTCGCTTTCTACTAGTTTCACTGGTTGCCACAATAATAACGGCCATTGTAAACGAACAGTGGCTGTGACATTACCGATGACATCGATTCCAACACATGAATACATATCGATTTCGTGTTTTTGGCTGACTTCCAAATCACTGTCAACTTTAATAATTTCATTAGTTCGCATAGACCAAGCTTCATTGTCATTAGTTAAACGTGAAACAATATGTTTATCATCTGATGAAGGATATTTACGTGTGATATTATGAGGAGTATTTGACAAATTGACTAATGTCATATCATTTTTATGATAATACCATATGATTGATAATTCTATGGAACCTTTCATTGAACAAGTTAATCGAACTGACGATTGTTGATCCGATGAAGTGGTAGGCTTTTTCGCATTCGTTTCCTCTTCTAACACAACATTTTTCGAATGGTGTTGTTTACTGCCAGTTTGATGAAGATTAGTTAGATCAACATCAAGACGTTCAAGTTGTGGCGGTGGACAGTAAAGAATATGCGGTGATGGATTTGATTTTTGTCCAGTGTTTATAATTACTGGATGATAAGCTTCGGACAAGTCGGTAATTAAATCACTAAATTTCTGTCCAGCTAATGAATGTGGAGTTGCACATTTCGGTTGATTATCTTCACGATCCCAACTATTCTCTAATGTTTCATTCCAATCATATTTATGTATGAAACGATAACGTTGAATAAGCCAATTCAATTGACAATCACAATGCCATGGATTATCATTAATCTCGAAATTTTGTAATTCTTTAAATATCACATCATATTTCTTGTCAAGACGTCTTAACTGATTGCCTTTCAATATTAGCTGACCAAGTCGACTAACACTTGTCAATTGTTCCAACGTGTTATAAGGTAATTCACGTAGATTAGAATTACGCATAATTAAACTTTTCATTCGTGTTAAACCAGAAAATGTATTCTCACGAAAATTAGTCAGTTTAATTTCATCCATAATCAGCTTTAATTGATCTAAACCAGAAAATGCATAATCTGCGATTTCAATCAATGGATTGCCTGTTAAATCTAACAAACGTAATTGTGAACCTAATGTTTGAAATGCATTACGTCCTAAACTAGCAATATTACAAAAACGTATATGTAAACTTTTCAACTGGAGTTTACCACCGAATTCTACACTACGATATATGGACAATTCATTCGGTCCTAAATGTGTACTAAGAAATGTTTGATTTTGTATTAACAAATATTCCAATTGTAACATTGGTGGAATAGGCAAATGTTTTAAACCGGGCAATTCACAATTCATACGTTTTGAACTGCATATACATTGTTGTGGACAAATGGTAGAATCCATTGCATCGATTGATTTCATGTTAAATAGGATGATTATTAGCATTAGTAGTATATAGTGGAGAAAACAATAATGGATTTGATGAGATTTTACGGATGAAATAGTTATATGTAAATAATCCATATTCATCTGATTAGTTCCATTTGAAATGTGACTTGTTCATTAATCAATAAATAGGCTTTCACTCTGGAATGAATTCTTCTCTTCTTAAACTAGAAATAAAGGGAAATCAGAGAAAATACACATTACATGGTATCGATAAGAACTTTAAATTATAAATTTTAAGTAGATTTTACAAAAAGCAATACTTAAAATCAGTTGTAAAAGCAGTTTACAGTCTACAGTTTAGGTAGATATCCACTAAAAATTAGAAAGTGATGAACAGTTGTTTCATTATACAACTTGTTTGTATGAAATGAAGTTTATTATCATAGATCAATCATTGTAGGACCACCATTAGGAGTCTGAAAGCACTGAAAGAAAGCCGTTTTGTCTTGGTAAAAGGACTCATTAACAGTGCGCATCCACGACTCCTCCACTTCTCAGGATTCGAACCCGGGACCTTCTGTATTGTGCGCGAACGACAAACAATCCGTCTTAATGTCTAACTCCGATTGATCTAGGGATTTTGCGCGACCTCACCCATTTGTCTATGGTAGTTACTGCCTACACCCGACAGGGTTGAACTCCTCCACTGGTCATGTCTTCTCAACTAGAACTCCGAGAATTTCCTCACGAAGCTAATCACTAGTGAGCAGTGTTACGATATTTTGGGGCAGAGTTTTGGAGGTATGTGTTTTTACACATTTGAAATCATCAATCAATCATTGTTAGACCACCGTTAGAAATCTGGAAGCACCGGACGGCCGTTTCGTCCTAGCATGGGACTCATCATCAGTGTGCATCAACGACTCCCGCCACTCGAAGGATTCGAACCTGAGACCTTCGATCTTGAGTGCGAACGTTTAACCTCTGAATCAGTGATTCGGCATCCTACGGTGTTAATGTCTAACTCTGATCAATGTGAGGGACTTTGTGCGACCTCACCAACCATCGGATTTCTAATGATGGTCTAACAATGAATTGATTCATAATTTCAGTAATAAACAATTAGATATCACAAAATTCACAAGCCTTCCATCTTAATCCTGTTTTTAAATGTACACACTAAAAATATCAGCTACACAAACAGTTTCAGATTTGATGTTCAATATATCGATAATTAAGTTAGATTTATTACATCGGAAATAATTTATCATTCTGTAAAACAAACTTAACCGAAAAAAACAGTGATTGTTTATATTTTCACTTGTTTTATGGCAGTGTGATGAAAAGAATTTTCATCTCATGTTAAAACTCACGTACTAATATGGAACAGTAGTCACTAATCTGTTGGGTTTTGAACATAGCTGTTCATAGTACCACTGCACTATTCACGCTAAGGCTGTGACTCAAAACACTCAAGTACACGACCTTGTACTTTTCAAACTAACCAAACAACCATTAAAATGAGAAAATTTACAGAACATGTTTGTGTAAACAAGGTTTAATAGCCTTTTATTATTAATATGTGTACTATAGTGTTTTATACAGATAATTTATGACACGGAATGATTAGAATGCAGGTCACATTTTTTATTACAGTTGGTTTTATTTCATATATGAACTTAACAATAATAAATTAATCATTTCATGGTTAAAATTGTTGTTGAATGCCTATTGTACTTGTCTCATCATGAATCAGACTGCTTCCCTTGGACACACTATAATAATATTCACACAAACATTTTTAATCAATAATAATAGTCATGATAAGAGTGAACAATGTCTAATTTTAACAAATATTTATTGATTAATAACCGAGTTAGTGAGTCTGTCGATTCTGCTGAGTATGTACTTACTTACTTACTTACGCCTGTTAGCCCCCCGGTGGAGCATAGGCTGCCGACAAGTATTCTCCAGTCTACTCTGTCCTCAGCTTCCCTAATGAGTATTTACAGCTGTAAACTATTTATCCGAAATTGAAGAAAGTTCAATGATATCAGTTTGATCCAGCCTAAATTAAACAATGTTAAAGATAACTAGTTTTAATGCAGTGTGAGCATTTCAGATTAATTCTATAGCATGTTTCAAACATTTTAGTGGAATAGTCAGTCAGTCAGTCAGTCAGATGCAACATAGAACTTTGTACGTAAGTACATCAATTCATGTTGTTATACCACATCAGCACAGAGATATAATTGTCAGTTCAAATCCAATAGTATAAGAGGTAGGTAAGGTATTGGAAGTAATCGAAGAGGTTAGGATTAGAAGATATTATTCAAGAAGTATGATTCAATGAGAAAAGTTTAGAAAGTCAAAACTCCAGGGATTGAAGAATCCAGAAGATTAGGATTTGAGAGAACACAAAGAATAAATGCACCGGCGCCATTGCAAACGGTTTTGAGCTATGTCATTCAGGGTATCTAACCATCGATTATTATCATCTATCGGACCTCAAATAGGTAGTCGACAATTACCGACACGGCTAAGTCCACTCGTCAATGACTTCATGCATTTCTGCCATGTTTTGGTTTGGCCGCACTTAACTTTCTTCCATTCTATTCCTACACTACAAAACAAAGCTCGTCGAGGCAGCCGGTGGTTAGGCATACGCGTAACACATGTCCCAACCACCTCAACTGATGAAGTTTCACCGCTTCATCTATTGATCTGCCATTCTTACCTAGCACCCGTTTTCTAATAACAGCGTTGCTCACTCGGGTGTCTCAGGATAGTGGAATAAATTTTAACTGAACATAGTTAGCACTATTTTTTATTATTGATTTTTTGATATAAAATTCAGTTGCGTTAGTTAGAAATGATCACATACTGGAATTAAGTTTGTTGATATTGTGGAATTCATTTCCTGCTATTGCATGCTATGCAATTGTCAGTCATTTTTTTAAAAAAGAAACAGAGAGGGAAAATGAATATCAGGCTTATTGACGAAGAGGGCGAATGATTGTTTACTGAAACAATTACAGCACTGCTTGCTTTCGAATTTGATTTCAAGAGAGAAGAACAATATACCATTACAACAATATTTTTGTATGATCACATGTGATAATAATTATTCTTCAACAGTAAATTTAAAAATAACAATATTATAATCTTTTTTTCAGTAAGAGTTGTGGATATTTGTTTTTTAACAAGACGTGACAAATGGAGTTCAACCCTGTCAGTTTTAGGCAGTAACTACCAAAGACAAATGGGTAAGGTCGCGCAAAATCCCTAGACCAGTCAGAGTTAGGCATCAACACTGTTGGATGCCGGTTGCCCAGTTGTCCAATGGTTCGGCGTTCGCGCACAATACCGAAGGTCTCGGGTTCAAATCCTGCGCGGTGCAGGAGTCGTGGATGCGCAGTGCTGATAAGTCCCATACCAGGACGAAACGGCCGTTCAGTGCTTCCAGGTTTCTAATGGTTGATCTAACAATGATTGATTGATGATTTCAAATGTGTAATATTATAATCGTTTTCATGTATTCCATACTGTATATCGAATTAGAAAGTATTGTTTGCATTTTTATTGACAAATTTGTGTTTTGCAGTTAATATTACCAGATGTTTAACTTTAATAAGGATGATAACGGTTGGTCAGTTGTAAATGACAAGAAAACTGACTATTTAAAGAATTTAGGTGACTATTTTTCTTTTCCATATATTAAATCTCAAGGCATTGCTTATGATGTGAGTTTTACAGCCATAAACTAATTGCTCAAACAAAAATCAACTGGAATGTTCTTGATCTCTCAACCGAATGATTGAATGTCGGATAATTAAACAACTAATGAACTTTTCCCAACTTCAAATGTTGTTACAATCCCCAAATTGCAAGACGATTCACCGGTTTTTTTATTGGGATGCGAAGAACTATTATTTCTCTTTTACATTTGTCGCTAGCAACATCAACTACTCTGATGGATACTACTTGCAACCTAGGTTCTAAGTAGCATGCAGTGGAGTGTTGTCCAGAAGTCACTACTGGAGAGAAGAGTATCAGACTGAAATTCATGGTGAGATCAGTGTTTTGAAGACAAATCAATAATCTGTTCGTTTTGTAAATGGAAGTAATAAGATTAGGTGTACGTATTTTGGTAATAAACTGTGTCATTTCGTGCTTTCTCCTCAGTCACATACAAGCAACATGTTATTTGTGTAAATCCAGTTTTTGAAGATAAGGTCAAAATTTCTTATTTAGCATGACATTTACTCACTAGAACCATGGTAAACAAAGGTCAACATACAGTTGTTTTTGAACGAAACTGATAGCAAATGATGTGCCCCAGAAACCAGTGTACCTACAGTCACCTTTCAAGGGTGATCATTGCATGAAAATTACAACCAAACAGACTGCAGCTGCAATAAAAAAGACCTTCAATGCAGCTAATCTGAGACTTATCACAACAACTCAATCGATCTCAGTTACCCCAATCAAGTCTCCAAGACCGATTCAGTCCGAATCCCACTGTATTTACCAATTCACATGTAACTGCGGAGAAAGTTACTTAGGTAGGACAGATAGCCGATTGAAAGACAGGATAGGGGAACATATTCCAAGATGGTTAATCAAATCCATGATTCATCCACATAGCCCATCATCTCAAGATCGATCAACAAAACCCAGCCTCGTCCATTGTAAAACATCTAATGATGAGTGGTCATCAAATTGACCCAAAATCAGCCTTTATAGAGTTGTGACATGTCATCAAAACACACACACACTGAAACTACTCGAAGCTATCTTTATTGGTCGGAAAAGTCCAACTTTATATGTTCAAAAACAACTGTATGTTGACCTTTGTTTACCATGGTTCTTCTAGTGAGTGAATGTCATGCAAAAATAAGAAATTTTTACCTTATCTTCAAAACTGCTGTGTTTACATAAATAACATGTTACTTGTATGTGACTGACGAGAAAGCACGAAATGGTACTATCCCACAAAATATGTCTTCTCATTTCTCTGTTCAAATTTATTAAAAAGAGAACCACTGTTTTGAATAAACTGTGTCGTCTCTGAACATATAACTCTTCTACCTGGTTTCGATATTTTCGAATAACTTTTAAAATCTACATTAGTTAAGCTGGATACAATATATGCTTATAAACGAATACAACCATTTCCAATAAACGTGATCAACAAGACATGAAAGAAGAAAGTTTTCACTTGA